GCATCACGGCAAGTGAGCGCGCACTCGTAGGGAAATTCCCAAAGTGAGTGAGTACCTACACTCCAGCCACAAGTGCCGCAAAGGATATTGAGCAGAATGCCAGATAATGGTGGTGTGAAGTGGCGCGCTGAGGCGAGGTTTCAAGTGCTGTTCAGCGTACAAGCGAGATGGGTATACGCGAGAGCAAGGAGTGCTTGATGTCCTTTTGAAAAGTGTTTATTATTTAGTTGAGCACGCCTACTTTATCGCTTTTTTCACTTCAAATGCACTCGTATTGAATTCTTAAGTTTGGTTTTCAGTTGTTTGCTATTCTTTTTTTTAAGCGCTCGTTAGCGGTAATGCCAATGGCGGGGGTTTCCCCAGCTCTACAGGAAGATGCAGTAGGACAAGTAATATGTATAGTAGATATACTTATTTTTTATTTTTTCTGGCGCGCTGTTAAAAAAGCTTCGAAAGCACACATAATCATTATTGCGGAAGACTTTTTTTTTCAAACTCTCCTAGGGAAAAGTATTTTTCTGCTCGTTCAATCATTTCTTGTTTGCTTTACCTTTTACCTTGTTGAGGACATCGACTTTCTCCGCCTTGCAGTCGCCTGATCGTCAGCCGCGCCTTTTTAATTCCGTTCTCCAAATACATGTATGGTTCACACACACTATGCGTCATATATGTAGCTCTGTGTATACGTGCAAACCCATCCTACTTCCGTTTTTATTTAGTGCTCCCCACCCAACCTAAGGAAAGGACACTCAAACGGGATATCTATACTCGCACATTCGCAGGTGTGGCGAGCTCCACTTCGAGGCTCTTGCTAAAGTATTTACTCACTTAAATTGATATGGCGACTAGCGCTAAGTATATATATAACATTTACCGGTTTTATGTATGTATGTATGTATGTATATTAGGGTGGTCCTTCAAAAAATAAATTAACGATTTTATTTAGTCTCACCCCTCGATCGGTAATACCACGGTTATAGATATCATATATAAATTTTGGTCCCAATTGGAG